TGTCTCACAAGTTTCTACACCCTATTGCCAGAAAAGGGGATGCCTAGAGTCCCATCTTCCACCCAAAGTTCTTTCTCAATGCCAGTCTCCAGCCCTTCTTGCACTGCAGGCAGTCTAGAGAGTTAAATCAACACACAGATGACCTCAAGCACTATAGAGAGACTGTTGTGTTGTAAYTTTCTCCTCAACAAGAGTCTGGCTTGAGTATTACTTGAAGAATATTACTTGGAATGAATGCTTAGAGGTCTTTGGTCCATTCCCTCACTCAAAGCAGRTATCTGATCAGGTATCTGTGTCTAGCTAAAGGACTGTCTCCCAAAACAGAGATCCCACAAACTTCAGACGTCTGTACCATGATTTAACCATCCTCTTGTGAGAGAAAAAAAGATATGAAAAAAATTTCTTCATCTGAATTCCTTAGATAAACTCAATGCCTTTGCCTTTAGTGAACATCTCTTCAGAACAAAGGGGCGAGGCACCAGAGCTCTGCTAAATGACCCAGGGCCCAGAGAAAGGGAATGCAGTGCCTGCTTCCTTCCAGCAGGGTCCCACAGGGACAGTCCTTTTGTCCCAAAGCAATCCACCCGCAACAAAGCAGTATGCAATGAAGGAAAGAAGTTGTCTCACTCACATTCTCCTACGGCCCAAAACCAGGATTCTTCCTGGCATCCAGGCACCTCCTCACAGGGTTTTGAAACCAATCTCCAAGCCCAGAAACGCTTCACCCAACCAGTTTTCCCAATCCTTAGAGTCATCTATAACCCAGCAGAAGTTGACTGTGCGCTGATGTGCCTTGATCCCTGTCCAGATAGGGAGGGATGTCCAGGGATCAAGGCCAGGATTGCTTCTTTGAGCAGTAGCTGACACATGCCACAGTGAAGCTGACTGAAGCTCCAGTGTTTTTTTTCCCAGACATTGGAAGTTCTGTGCTGGGAATGTCTGTGCTAACCAGCCAGCTGCAAGAGGCCCAGGGGACTAGGACCAAGGAACTAGATTTGCAGCTCAAATGGAAGGGCTGTCCTGCAAGGAGACTGAAGGGAAAGAGCACGAAGGGAACCTCCTAACTCCTCTCTGTCCCAGAAGTTTCAGCTCCTTACCACCAACAATCTCTAATGAAACACATGACATAACACAACCTTCCTGAAGCCCAGGGCAAGGTGATGGTAAGGTGGCTTTACAAGGACTTGGCCACAGTGACTCATGTTCAAACCACTACAGAAAGAACATGAGAACTTTCCATACTGCCCACACTTTCCAGCCCAGAGCTGGAAATGGACAAGACAAAAGGTACTGGCATTTATTCTGACTGACCASAGCAAGCAATTCCTGAATTATCAAAGCATGATCCAATTCCAATATGGATTTGTACTTTGAAGAAGACAGAACAGGTAGTCTGATTGGTTTTGTCAATGAATCAGATCATTCATTTCTTTCAAGACCAGAAAGATCTCACTCCATTCATTACTAGCAAACAATACAGATATTGGAAGCAACAGGGGTTAAGAAAACCCCAACATGAGCAAAACCAACCAAACCAAACAAACAGCACCAATTTGTGCCATTAGCAGAAAGCCATTTTGCTCTGATTTTACATTATATTGTTTACAATCCCAGCTGGCWGGGAAAACCAGCACCTTCCAGCAGGCCACTGGAATGAGAACAGCAGTCGTCACCACTCCCACCAGCAAGCTTATGCTGGCACCTCCAGATCAGCTGATAAGACCTTGTTTTTAAAGTTGCTCATGTCTGCAGCAGCTCACCAAATCCATTCTGCATCTGCTGCGCCTGGGACTACAGCAAAACACCATTAAAACATGTTTCCAGGCTAGTGGAGACAAGAGCTAAGCAGCTGGAACAGAGCCAGGGCAAGCATCTCTTCCCAGCTTCAGAATCTGATTGGGAGTCTCGCACTATAAAAAACAGAGCGAGAGCCATTACCTTGCCCTGACAGCATGAAGCAGTATTAAAGCAGGCAGCGTAATTCCCAGGAGCCAGTGCCTTTGCAGGCATCTGTCAAATGTGAGGGCTGTGCACTGGATGTGCCTGGGCAGCACGAGAGATAACCAGGACACAGATGGGACCAGCAGGAGCTCTGGAGCCACTCTGTGTGCCCTGAAGGGCTCTGAAGTGCCCACGCTCCCTCCGTGGAGTACCTGGGGCACCCGCAAACACCAGCTGACTGCAGGCTGCAAGTCAGCTGCTACCTCCAGAAGCAAACAGGTTTTGTGAACCACAGCAAGGCTGGCAAAGTCACGGGGACAAACCTCTACCTGCATAACAAGCAAAGGACCTGTTTTATCTGTGTCTTCCCTGTCTAGCTAGAGCTCTTTGAGAAGCTACGTGGCTCCTTCCCAGCAAATTAAGCATTTATCCAGCAACTCTGCCAAGGTCAGAAACTTGCCACGTGTCCTTTGTGCCCCAAGAGCCATTTTGGTATTTGGGGTTAATGCTGTTGTTTCAACCTGGACATTCCTCCAAAACAGCAGATGAGAGAACACATGCTTCCTGCTCCTTCTGCCAATTACAGCAAAGCACAGCCATGTTTATTTACCCTGTGCCTGTGCTGGCCAGATCTTTGACCTGATGTATGCTCAACACCACCCTCTTTCCCCACAAGCACAGGCAGGGGTGGGTGTTTTGTGTTTTCCATATCTCCAAGGTGGCACGGCAGAGAGGAAACCAAGGGCACTAGAGGAGACCMGAGCACGGAACTGCAGCAGAGTGCCAGATGCCAGCTACGCAAGACGCAGGGAAGCCTGCTGCTTCTGGTAATGTGCTGCTGCCTCCCACCATTGTGCAGATTTCTCCCGGCTGCCTGGCCAGAGCATTCTACCGCAACACCATCCCCCAGCTCTTCTTCAGACACCTCCTCCCAGGCGCATCCTCTCCTTCACAGAAGCTTACCAGCGATTTCCCCAGCCCACCGCCTTTGGTAGGGTGCACCTCCACTTCGGARCAGCTTAGGAAGCAGTTAATTAATGGAAGAAGGGTTTGGGGCGAAAGAAGGCTCTTTGAGAGCCAYGGCTGTATGACCTGCCTCCGTCATCGTTCCTCCGGCTTTGTCTGGCAGCAGGAGGCACGCCCGCTGCGTATCCTTGAAACAAACAAGCCAGAGAAACCCCTTCACCCCTCAGAACCASCACAGAGAAATTCTGCGCCCACCTGGCTAACTGAAAGCTTCGCAAGSAAAACAAAAAAAAAGTTTTCACCAGCTTTGCCCGAAACTGCGCATCAAAGCGGTCCTTTGTTCCAGGATGGCTGGGCACCCTGCCCGTCTCAGTCACCGGATGGGAATGTCCCCCGCCCCAGAGGGCAGAGGAGCGGTACCTGGCTGCCTGCAGCGGCTTGTCCAGCGCCGGTGCCCGCGGAGGCGGCGGAGGAGCGGCGGCCGCGGCGCTGCGCGGCTCCGTCTGCCGCGCTGCCCGGGGAGCGAGCGAGCAGCGGCGCAGGCACCCGGCGCTCGGCAGCCAACCACACTGCGGCAGGGGGAGGGGAGGGATGCGGACAGGCTCCGGGAACAGGACGGTCGGACGCTCTCCTGGGAGCGCAGAAAGCGCCACGCACGCCAAGCCCGCAGCTCCCTCCTCGGGGATCCACGGGAGCACCCAGGAGCAGGGCCGAGCCCCCGAGGGGCCGCCAAATGCCGCCCAAGGAGCACTGCCCACCCTCGGGCTCCTGCTCAGCCCGCCAAAGCCCTGTTCCATCCCACCCTCCATCATGTGGCGGAAGGCTTTACATCCCGTTTGGTGTCACCGTCGCCTGTGTCCGCACTGCCGACCCCATCCCTGCCCCTAAAGCCAAGCAGGTGTAGCTGCAGAGAACCCTGAGGGCTGTTATCGCTGTGCCCACAGCAATGGCCAGATGCAGAAGATCTGGGAAGGCTGCGGCCCTGTTGTATCCATGCTTCGCAGCGTGGAGCTGGGCACCGCTGGGAAGCACTTGTACAGTCTGTAGCTTCTCTACGCAGACAGAAGATAAAGACACAGGATCCAGCCTGGATTGTTGCTATCGCCATCCCACCCACGGAAACACACAACTGTCATGGTGCTCCCTACCAAGTCCCTAGTCACCTACATCCGCCTGAGCCAGTACTGCACTGGTGCTCCTGTCCCTCCCCACAGGTTCCCCAAGAAGGGGAAGGGCTTCAGGTGTCCCAGAAGGAACAGCCCAGCCATGGTGACACGCAGGTTCTCTCTTGCCTCATCTCACAATACATATTTCTCTCCTGAAGCACCTGGCTGTCCTCCCTTCCCTAATTCTGGAAGGCAAACCTGGCCGGCTGTGGGGCACATACTGCTATGGCACGGTTATATATTACATGTTAAGTTACATAGCAGGAGTGCAAACGTACATTATTTGTGTTACAGTGAAAGCCATTCCTGGCAATGAAGCCACAGACTAATTATAGAGCCGTGAATCCCGCAGTCCGTGCCCACAGCACCCTGGAAACAGCCATAGGCCGGGGCTTYGGGCTGACCCACCGTTGCCTTAAACACACTCCGCTCCTCCCTCGGGAAGCTCCCGGCCTCCGCCGGCCGTCCCTGCGTGGCAGCCCGCCCTGCCCGCGGGGAGGCCGGGAGCACGGATCCCGCGTACCCGGAGCTGCCCGAGCGGAGCGGGCACAGGCAGGGCTCTCCCTGTACTGGAGAGGGCTGGTCCCGCAGGGYGCGTCTCGCCGGCTCCAAAGTCCGCAGAGCCGGCAGCGCCCTTAGCGCCGACCCCGCTGACCGGCAGCGTTACCGCGGCACGGCCCCAACGCTGCCCTCGCCCCCGCTCGTTCCGCTGCCCCGGCGGTCCCCAGGCCACGCCAGCCCCAACCCCACTAYACCGACCTCCCCAGCTCCCCGCGGGGGTCCCACCGCGCCCCGCCGCCGGCAAGAGAGCGTCGCCCGGGAAGGCCGCCCCGCTCTGGCCTGCACCGCCGGGCTCCGCGAATCCTCCCCCTTTCCAGGGCCGCCGAGGGGAGCGACCGAGCCCCSGTAACCCCGCCCGTACCAACCTGCTCGGCGCGAGACCTCGATGGCGATCCCGGTCGCTGTCCCGGTCCCGGCGGGGGCGGGGCGACACCCGCGGCCGGCACCACCCGCCCTCTCCGCGGCGCAGCCCCTTTAAATGGAAGATGGCCGCCGCCCCCGCCCCCGCCCCGCCGGCGGCCGAGCGCCMCCTGCCGGCTCCTCCTCGGGCCCCGCCCCGTCCGGTGCCCCCTTCCCGCGGCCATGGCGGCGCTGGGGCTCTGCCGCGCCTTCGGGGCGCTCCTGCTGTCGGCGGGTCCCCGCCGGGCCCGGCCCCCCGCGCTGCCGCCCGGGCCCCCAGCCCTGTCCGCCGCCTGCCGCGGGCTGGCCGGCTCGGCGCCGCGCTGCACCACCGACCCGCTGTGGAAGTGCCGGGCCAAGTACACCGTGCGGCCCGTGGGCATGAAGAAGACGGGCGGCCGCGACCACACAGGTGGGTGGGCGGGTGGACGCGGGCGGGCTGCCGGAGCCGGCTGGGCGAGGGGAGTCCCGCCTGCAGCCGCTCCCGTGTCCCGCAGGCCGCCTTCGTGTGCGGGGGATCGGTGGGGGACACAAGCGGCGGTACCGCATGATCGACTTCCAGCGCCTGCGCTACGAGGAAGGGGCCCCGGCGGAACCCTTCACCGAGAAGGTCATCAACGTCCGATACGACCCTTGCAGGCGAGTGCGGAGTGCGGGGTGCGGGCCCGGGCCCGGGCAGTCGCGCCGGCCGTGGTCCCCTGCTCACCCGGCGCGGGTTCTCCGTGCAGGTCGGCTGACATCGCCCTGGTGGCCGGCGGCAACCGCAAGCGCTGGATCATTGCCACGGAGAACATGCAGCCCGGGGACAGCATCACGAACTCTCCTCACATTGGCAGGATGGCAGGTGCATGCCAGGGCCAGGGGCAGCTGTGCCAGTCTTGCCAAGGGCCCGTCGGCTGCTCCTTGCCCAACTTGTCAGCTTCTGTCTTCCAGTGTCGGCCAACGAAGGGGACGCATACCCGCTGGGGGCTCTGCCTGTCGGCACGCTGATCTGCAACCTGGAGAGCCACCCTGGGAAGGGAGCGCAGTACATCCGAGCAGCTGGTGTGTCCTCGCACAGGGAACCTGYTGTTTGTAGGGGTTTGCACAGATGGAGAGGAGGGCAGGAGGGCACCGCTCTGGGTGGCCAGTGACAGGGAGTTGCTGTCTTCCCTCCATGTTAGAGTACAACACATCTCACTGGAGAAGCAGAGGCAAGCTCTGCCCTGTTGATTCCTCAAAACCCTGTCTTCAGCAAGAAGTGCTGCATTTAGTACAACAGCAGGGGGCTTTGAGGACTTACCAGCATGGGCATGTGCTTGCYACAGGGTGGGATACTTTGTGCTGCWGCTCAGGGCGGCTCCCTGTGCTCTTCCCTGCGACAGGTACATGTGGGGTGCTGCTGAGGAAAGTGAATGGGACAGCCATCGTGCAGCTGCCCTCCAAAAGGCAAATGCAGGTAAAGGAGCTGTGCTGTCCCTGGCTCGACTGCCTGAGCACACAACCGTGCGTTCCCAGGGAAGGCCGCAGCTCTTCTCTGTCTCTCAGGTGCTGGAGACCTGCGTGGCCACGGTGGGCCGCGTGTCCAACGTGGATCACAACAAGCGGGTGATCGGGAAGGCGGGCCGGAACCGCTGGCTGGGCAAGCGCCCGCACACGGGCTTGTGGCACCGCAAGGGCGGCTGGGCTGGGCGCAAGATCAGACCTCTCCCACCCATGAAAAGCTACGTCAACCTGCCACGGGTCAAAGCAATGGACTGATGCCTGAGGCCAATAAAGCGTTTTTCATGACACTGCTGTTGCATTACTGATGCCTTTTATGCATGGGGTCCCACATTCCCATGGGTGTTTCACCTATGTTCAGTCCCTGGCAGGGGTGTGGTTTGCCCGGAGCAGTGAGTGTGGGGCTTTGGACTCCCTCGGCTTGAGTTTGAGATTGGTGGGTGGCTCGGTGCGGCACAATCGTGTCAAACCCAGCTGGGCTCTTCTCTCACCCTCAACCTGTGGAGCAGTGACTGGGAAGCTGGGAATCACGGTCCTCAGCGCCTCCCAGCCCCGGTAGCGCCTCACTGCTGCCCAGCCCCGTTTCTGCCGCCGCCTCTTCCCCGTCCCACCTTGTCCCAAGGCCCGCCCTGTGCCTCACGCCGCCCCCAGCGCTGCCCCCGGTCCCGCCGCGGCTCCGGAGCTCCCCGGTGCCGCCCGCCCAGGCCCGGCCCTCACGGCCGCCGTCGGGCGGGGTCTGCGCAGGCGCCCGCGGCCGGAGCGGCGCGGGAGCGGTGCCGGAGGTAACCCCGCAGCGGAGGGAGGGCGGCGGGCTGGGCACGGCCGGMGAGCGCCCCGAGCGGAGCCGGCCCGGGCCTTCTAGGGCAGCTCTCGGTACGGCCCCCGGCCAGCCGGGGAAGGGGTGCGGCAGCCGAACCGGGCCGGGTCAGCCCCTGCTCGGTGCCCGGCGACTTCTCGCTTGGCCCGCGCCTGGAATCGGCTCGGATGCTGCCGCTGGCGCGGCCGGCCCAGGCGAGCCCTGTTCCCGGGGATGGCAGTGCCGTGCCGCCTGCCCTTAGCGTGTGTGCCCCGGGCACGGGCCTGTCCCTCACCGTGCTCCCGGTGCCGCTTGAGCGATGCGCAGCCGAGCCCTCCAGCACACCCCCGGAGCAGCGTGCGGGCTCCACCTGGCGCGGGCAGCTCCATCAGCTCAGCTTCCTGGGCGATGCTGTMCGTATTTCTGCCATGCCCACAGCCTGTTTGACAGTCCAAAAACCACTAAGTTTTGCCCTGTAATCTTGTTATTACATATGTGCAGTTTTCCAAGGAGAAAGTGAGCTGTGTCTTACACTTGCTGCGTTAGGAGTTTACAGCACTGTCCTTGAGAACAGCCAGTACAAAAGAACATTTTATTGGTTGCATTGCCATGTCACCAGCTCTGTGACACACAGAACACAGACCTCTAGCYGTGGCATGCCTCAGTCCCCTCTCCCCAGCTCCYGCTTCCCCTCTGTCTCTGCAGACWCRTGTGCTGCCATGGTGAACGAGAAGCACAATGGCAGCCTGCTGGTGCAGCTGGGGCCCAAGCTGCAGGCGTACCCAGAGGAGCTGCTCCGTCAGCGGCGAGGCCACGCCGGCCGGCCGGAGTACCTGGTGCGGTGGAGCGTGGTGAGCCTGGAGGAGAGAGCGGCGGGAGGCGGCGGYGCCTYCTGCACGGAGAGCGAGGCGGAGAGCATCTCCATGTGGATGTCTGCGGACGAGGTGTGCGCCAGCTGCCCGGCGCTGCTGGGCCACGGGAGGCCGGAGGGGCCGCGGCCGAAGGAGGAGGAGGCGCCCGGTGCCGCGGCCGCGCCGCCGGACGAAGCGTCGCTGCTGGAGATGGAGGCCGACGTGCGGAGCCTGGTGCGGCGAGCCCGGCGCCAGCTGGCCCGGGCCGGGACGCCCGAGGGCTCCGTGCTGAGCACGGTGCAGGTGCTGAGCGCCTACGCCGCCATCGGCTCCCTGGCGGGCGCCTTCAGGGACACGGGAGCCCTGGARCTGCTGRTGGCCGTGCTGTGCCACCGGGAGAAGCGGATCCGCCGCGCTGCCGGCGAGATGCTGCGGGCTCTGGCTGCGCACGATGCAGGTGGGGGCTGCTCCTGCTCGGTGCCGGGCGGCTGAGGGGTGCCGAGCCTTTGGGAGGGGTGAGCTGCCTGGGAACAGCACATCTCGGGGCTTGCTGGCCACAGGGGAAGGGTCAGTGTGGATCTTCCAAGCTTCCTTGGTTGCAGTTGTCTGGGCTGCTCTTAGGGTTAGAAACTTTCCCCTGCCAGGTTTTGAGCTGGGGTGCTGGTTAACTGTTAGGAGTGTTAAGGAATTCTAGAGGTGGCTGTCTCCTCTAGCAGCCCCAGCACCTCTCGTGCTCTACGGCAGCCCAGCCTGGAGCGTTTTGAGTTTCTCAAGCTGAGAGATGGCAGCTGCCACTTTCCTGTTTTGAGGTTCAACCAGTGGCAAAGCTGAGTGCCTATCCCAGAGCACAGACACACGCAGGGCTCTGATAGCACACACTTACAGGGCTCACACAAACAAGCACAGCCATGTCCCCTCCTGCTCTTTGTCCGGCAGAGACAGAAGGGTCACTCCTGCCAGCACACACTGCATTTTCCAGGTTCACAAGTAAACACACATTCATGGATCCCTTGGGTACCAGCATGGCCCCTCTGTCTGTCCTGCTCCCATGCCTGGATCCAAGCCCCTCTATGAGTCTCAGGGGTCCCCCTGCCCATCAGTTTATCAAGCCTGATGCTCTCTAGTAAACCTGTAGCACTCTTGTTTCACAGTCCACATTCACACATCCATTGTGGCTCCCAACAACAACCACCACAAATCTCATACCCTATTCTGGACCCAGAACCTCTTCCTTGCTAATCCAGTGGGAAGTTTTGCTGATGAATTACATGCACAGCAGGATTGAGAAAGATGCAGACAGTCACCCTTCCCCCCTGGCACCAGGCACTGCAGTCCTGCTTCAGCTGCTGATGCTGAAGTCCTCATTTGCCTCCCTTCCAGKAGCTGTTCTTTGGAACACACACTGTTCTCTCCCGAGTGGCTGCTGGCCGAGGATCCCACCTGCTCCAGGCACTGGCACTGAGACCCTCCCCACATCCAGAGAGTGATAGCACCTCCAGCTGTCACTTGCTGACTCCACAGGGCTCCCACAGCCCCAGTAAGGCCCCAGTTTGTGGTAYCTAATGCCACTTAAGCAGGTTCCACCAGCAGCTGGCACTCGGTCTTTGCAGCACACACACACATGGCGTAGAGAGAGAGTGAGTAAAGATTTAATAAGAGGGTGTAAGAAAGTAGGACAAACTGTCAGTCAGGTCCAGGGCTGTCAAACACACTGACCAGCCGTGGTTTAARCATGACTGGTGCCTTTTGTGTCCCTTTCTCTGCACCCCCTTTTGTGTTCCTTGCCAATTCCAATTAATCAAATAATCTTAACTGAAAAACAATCATTCTTATACACCAGATGTCCTTACTGATTGTTGTGACTGACCAGATTTGTTTCTCCTCACTGCCTCCATTAGCATTTGTCAGTCAGGTTCGTGATTCTTTATGTTCTTGTTTATGGCTTCCTTTTTGGAAGGCATAACTTTCACTTTTTGCAGTGAAAAGGTCCTTGACTGGATACACTTAGAGGAACAGTTTCCTTCCACATACCCTTGCAATGCCAGTGCCAAAGGGCTTGGCAGAACCCTGGTAGAGGCTGGTCCTCACCCAGTTCTGTCATTTAAGAGGAGCTGCTGTGGCTTGGAAGTGCCTGATGAGGCTTGGGTGCACCTGGAAGGTTGCTGGTTGTGGAGGATCCCAAGGGAGATCTGGCTTTCCCTGTCCTAGTGCCTGAGTTCATGCAGCTCTCAGGTGGAGCAGATGAGGGGCTGATTCAGGTTCAAACGACTTCTTTTCTTCCCCTGGGACCCTGTTCTGGAGTCAGTTATTTGAGGTTGCTGCTTTGTGAGAATCTTGCAGTGTAAAGGGTAGAAAAAATAAACCGTGGAGCAAAATATTGTCACTCCAGATGAAGGAACAGAACACAGATGAAGTGATAGTGAGCAGCAAAGTTGTTCCTTCCCTGTGGCTCTGTCACAGGGAGGGTGGGGTGAGGGTCACCTTTGTGGGGCCTGAAGGGTTTTTGTTGTTGTGGCAGGGAGCCGGGCCCATGTGCTGCTGTCCCTGAGCCAGCAGGATGGCATTGAGCAGCACTTGGACTTTGACAGCCGCTGCACCCTGCTGGAGCTGTTTGCTGAGATCACATCCTCTGCAGAGCACTGCATGTCCTTCGAGGGGATTCACCTCCCACAGGTGATGGCAGACCCTGCCACCAACCCTGGGCCTGCGGGGCATGAGGGGCCAGGAGGGGTGGGAATGCGGGTCAGGAGGGGCAGGAGTGGGGGGTCAGGAGGGGCAGGAGTTGGGGGCCAGGAGTGGGGGGCCAGGAGGGGTGGGAGTGGGGGGTCAGGAGGGGCAGGAGTTGGGGGCCATTAGCTCTGGGACAGGAGGGCAGTTGGAGGTGGGCAGGGGAGCAGGACTGACTGTTGGGAGAGCTGGCACAGGATTTGAGCCTGGTGTGAGGCTGGGGTGGTGCAGAGGCACCTGGAGAGCCTTGTCTGCCAGCAGGGAGGTGAGGCTGGGCTGGAGATCCCACTGGAGCCTGCCTGGGAATGAGCTGGTGGCTCAGAGAGGGCTGGGGGCTGGAGGTGCTCTGCAGGCTGTGTGTGACAGCCGTGCCTGTCACAGATCCCTGGGAAGCAGCTCTTCGTCCTGGTGAAGCGCTACCTGTGCGTGACGTCTCTCCTGGACAAGCTGAGCGGCGGCGTGGRGCTGGGAGAGGAGAGCCCTGTCCCTGAGGAGAGGAGCCGTGTGAAGGAGGAGTTTGAGTTCAGCATGGCCATGGGCAGCCTCATCTCGGAGCTGGTGCACGCCATGGGCTGGAGCCACGGGCACACGGCAGAGCCGCTGCCCCGACRGGAGCTGCAGCATCGCGGCGCCCGCTCCATCTTCCAGCACAAGAGCCCGGCCAGCGCTGCTGCCGAAGCCGCCCCCACGTCCCCGGCAAAGGAGCCCGTGACCTTCAAGACGCGCTCGGCGTTCCCGAGCCGCAGCAGCTACGTGGAGTACGTGCAGGCCACGCTGGTGAGCGGCATGAGGGTGCGGATGCTCGAGGACTACGAGCAGGTCACCGCCGGCGACGAGGGCGACTTTCGCCGCAGCAACGACGGCACACCCCCGGTGCAGGTATCGCTGCTGGGGGAGCGGATGCTGCCTGTCTGCCCTCCTGTGCTGCCTTGCATTGCAACAGCAGGGTAGAAATCCTCACTTGAGGATTGGCCTTCCTCACTTGGGCTGGCCTTCCCCCAGCTGGGTGCGTGTTGGGCTCTCCTCCTCAGGTGTACTGGCAAGCWCTGGGCTGCACGTACTGGGTTCACTGGCACATGGTTGAGATCATTGGCCCTTCAGAGCAAAAGCGGCTTGAGGGCCAGGAGAAGATGAACACCCTGAGACGAAACCACAGACTGAGAGCAGGTGAGCAGCCTGTCTGTCTCCTTCAAGCATGTTCCAATTCTCCCACTGCCCTCCTGACTCCTCCCTTTCCCCCCRGCACTCTGTGGTAGGGTAGGGACCTCTTCTGCCCAGCATGAGCTCTTTCCTTGGGGAATGACGAGTGCAGCAGAGGATGGGGGAGCTGGCAGAGCTGACAGTGCCCTTCCTTGCTCTGCTCTCCTGCAGTTCCCCAGCCGTTCCTGTGCAAGCCCTTGG